GAAACTAATTTTCAAGATATCTAGAAGCTCTGCAGTCTGATTCTATCTGTTTGATAAGAAAACAACAGATATGTGTGTCATAAAATGGGGACAGATGGACCCAATATTCAAGGAGAGATAGTCAGTAGGAAAGTTCAAAAGGTTTAATTAAAATAAAACAAAAACTGAAGTAGAGCTGTGGCTCGCGGACACTGCAGGCGGGGGGGCGGGGCACCGCCCAATCTCAGACGCTCTGGTTTAACAGTCCAGACCAAGAATGTCCCCCGTGCTGCAGTCCCAGAGGTGATGCTGGAAGCCGATCCTGGTCAGGAATCCAGAACAGACAGGAACAGAAACAGTTGGCAGGATCCAGACTTCCAGGCATCCACAGGCTCCCAGGAGGGTTCAGAGTCTGACTGGGACCAGAAGCATGACCAGGTGGTCACGCACAGGAGCAGACAGGATCAGGTGCAGATGAGCAGGCTCAGTGGAAGAAGGTAGCCGAGACAGGACGTAGAACCAGAACTTGAAGCAGGACTTTAAACTGGTCTCCACCCTGGAGCTAGGCTTACTGGATAAAAGCTGAACCTCCTCACATATTGAGCCAAAAACCCAGAGGACTCCGCGGGGGAGGAACAGTGGACGATCAGGAGACGAGACAAACACAAAAACCCTCTTTCCACTGGCTGCCAGGATCCAGGACATGAACCAAGGAAATAAAACTAACTGACAGGCTAACAGAAAGACAAGTAATGATCTGGCACTGAATGCTCAGGCTGAAGGGAATTTAAACCAGAGGAAACAGGTGAAGGGAATAAATTGTAATTGAGGCAGGGAGGGAAAACGGCAGGTGAAAGGAATTACTAATTTAGGAGCAAACAGGCCAGATCATGACAATGTGTTCATTTCTACCTCAGATTTATGGTCCTCTGAGAAGCCCAGATTTTTAACCAATGGTAAATGGTAAATGGCATGTACTTATATAGCACCTTTATTCAAGTTAGGAGACTTGACCAAAGCGCTTTACACTACATTCATTCACCCATTCACACACACACTCACACACTGATGGTGGCAAGCTACATTGTAGCCACAGCTGCCCTGGGGCTCACTGACAGAAGCGAGGCTGCCGTACACTGGCGCCACCGGGCCCTCTGACCACCATCAGTAGACAATGCAGGTGAAGTGTCTTGCCCAAGGACACAACGACAATGAAAGTCGGAGTCGGGGCTTGAACCGTCAACCCTTCGATTACAGGGCAAACTCCTCCATCCAACGCCACTGTCGCCCTGAAGAAGAACTCAGCATTAAAACTGTTTTCTCTAGCTTCTTGCATTATAATACTAACTTGTATAAACTTACAAGCTGTTGCCACTTTTAGCTGAAACAGCTCCATATGTATAACAATGGATGTTGACCATCTCCTAATTTTAGCTTAAACATCTATGGAAGTAGCTGCTGGTTAAATTCACTGAGTGCTGCTGTGTGTCTCTCTCCTCCGACCACGTAGCTACTCTGAATGCAGTGAATAACGACCTCAATAATATTATGTCTCAAAGCAACAGATCTGACCCAGTTACTGTTGGCTAAAGTAAATAAACCAAAAACAACGACCCACCGCAGGTGGGCGAAAACAAAGCACAGTCCCTGGAGGACGGCGTCTCTGCAGCAGGAACCGTGGGGGACGGTCTCTCTGCAGCAGGAACCGTGGAGGACGGCGTCTCTGCAGCAGGAACTGTGGAGGACGGTGTCTTTGCAGCAGGAACCGTGGAGGACGGCGTCTCTGCAGCAGGAACCGTGGATGACTTCGTCTCTGCAGCAGGAACTGTGGAGGACGGTGTCTTTGCAGCAGGAACCGTGGAGGACGGTGTCTTTGCAGCAGGAACCGTGGAGGACTGCGTCTCTGCAGCAGGAACCGTGGAGGACGGTGTCTTTGCAGCAGGAACCGTGGAGGACGGTGTCTTTGCAGCAGGAACCGTGGAGGACTGCGTCTCTGCAGCAGGAACCGTGGAGGACGGTGTCTTTGCAGCAGGAACCGTGGAGGACGGTGTCTTTGCAGCAGGAACCGTGGAGGACGGTGTCTTTGCAGCAGGAACCGTGGAGGACGGCGTCTCTGCAGCAGGAACTGTGGAGGACGGCGTCTCGGCAGCGAGAACCGTGGAGGACGGCGTCTTGGCAGCAGGAGCCTTGGGGGCCGCAAATGGCTGGGTAATGGGCCCCCCTGCTTGGGGACTGGCCCGCTAAAGGGTTCTGGCTCGGGAACTGATCTGCTAAGAGGCTCTGACTCCGGAAAGGCTGGCTGGAAGGTATATGATAGAGGTGACAGGAAATAAAACTAATCCTAATTTTCCCCATAAGTGGGACTCTTTGAGACAAGGAGCTCTGACTCAGAGCGATTATCACCACCGTCCTAACTGGCTTAAGAATTCTGACTCGTTGGTCATGGAGGTGATGACTGACACTACAGACTAAACTGACCTGGCTTGGTGGTGGCGTAAGGCTAGCAGCAGGCGAACCGATAGTAGAGGGAGTTGCAGCATCAGACTGACCTGTCAGGGAGGAAGTGGTGGCGTCAGACCAACCTGCTGGAGAGTTAGTGGTATTTTTGAGATGGCGGCGGTGCTTGCACTTGAAATCAGGATACGATGGGGGATCAGCAGAATGGGGAAAAGGTAAACAGATGAGAAAAGGTTTGGGTGATGGAGATTTGTTCAGGAGCTGAGAGAAGGCATCCTGTATGTTCCACTCAGCTAATGCAATGTAACCAGCCTGAAGAAAGAAGGTCTGGAGTTCTGGATACTTTTGCAGGACTTTCTGTATGTCTCCAGCAGCACTCACCCACTTCCAAGGTGGAGTGATTAATGATAGGTTATCGAGTGTGCCCCTTAAGAGTCTTAAAAAGTCTCTTGCCTTATCCATTGGCTCTGCTGGATCCATGTGTCATGATCTTGGCGCTGATGGTTTGGTTTTTTTCCTTTGCTCCGTGCTCCCCTGTCTAATTGGTTCTGCGGCTGATCATCGGCGATCATTTCCACCTGGTTTCTCTACTATTTAAGTTGTGTGTTTGCCTCCCATCAGCACCAGGTTATTCGTGTGTTTTGGTTAGATGCTTCCTAGATTTCTTTAGTCTGTCTGTTTTCCTGATTATGACCAGTTTTCTGCCCTGTGGATCTCGAATTTTGCCTTGCCCCTGCTCTGTTTGTCGCATCTGGTCCTGGATTCTACCGGCTTCTGAACCTGGAACTGTCTTCTGCCTTGGATTTCCCTTCTGGACTCTGTTGCTGCTCGCTCTCTAGGAAGTCTGGGGGCGTCGCGAACGGACAGAACTTTGAATCAATCTAGCTCCAAGTCGTATTCAGCTCCTCATCCAGTCACTGACCTGTATTCTCCCATCCCTACAGAGATCCGCCCCGCAGCAGACGAGCAGCCCCGCGCACCTGTTTGTTAATAAACACTTTGAACTTTCCCACTGCCTGTCTCGCCTTGAATTCTGGGTCCAATATTCTGAGATCCTTACACCATGTTGGCTGGTTCCTTCTGTCAAGGTTGTGTGGAGGTTTTTGAGGACCCAAATTCAGAGCAACTGAAGCAAAGTCCAAAAACATAAAACACTAAAAAACAAAAACCAAGTAAAGGAACCAGCAAACAGTGACTGAACTGGAGGTGTATAAATGGGAGACTGAACAAAGAGCGGTCCAATCAGCAAACTGGGAGCAGGTGTGGACAGAGGAGTCTAGAAGGGAGCTAGGAGAACACAAGGGGGCAGCAGAGGGCAAACAATACCAAATAACTTAAATACAATAAAAAAATAACTAGAATAACACAAAATGAAAATGAAACCAATAAACTAGAAAACATAGAAAGAGATGAATTGTCATGATTTTACTAAAGTTCAGACCCAAATGCAGAAGACCAAACAGGGAGACCAGGAGAAAAGATTTAACAGGTTTTATTGAAGAGATAATGCAGAGAGAAGTATTGCTCTGAACACTGCTCAACTGGAACTGAAAAGTGAGGGGAAGACACAGCGATTAGTTCGGGCTCAGTGGGAAATTTGATTCGTGGAGAAGAGGATCTGGTTGCTGACTCACGTTTCCAGAGAAGTTGTTGAATCTTTGACTCCAGACTGTATGCTGTTGTTCCCGTGTTTGTCTGATTCGGTTGAGGGGCGGAACAGGGTTTACCCAGAATGCGGTTGTTTGTAGGTGAACGGAGAAGCTGACTGCCACTCAGATTTCCTGCGGTACTTGAATGGGTCGTAGTGGAGATGAATCCGTTTCTCAGTGTGAAGCTCAAACGATCTCTTGGGGAAAGTGGATCCAAACCTCCTGTTTGTAACCCCAGCTCAGCTTGAAGCTCTGTTGATCCTTCCAGGGAGAGAAGGTCAGAAAAATCCAGTTTGTAGGATGACTTCCTGCCGAGAGGCAAAGACTAAAACAATGTTAAAACTCAGGTTGACAAGAACTCAGTTTGACTAAGCAAAACTCAGCTTGGCTAGAGTACCCAAAACTGGCAAACACTCTGGTGTTGAGGTAGTGGCAGTCAGCAGCTTAAGAGCGCTCTGTTAACGAGGAAACCATCAGCAGGTGTGTGAGGAGGTGGACCAGAACCAGGCGCCTCCTGGTGGAGGAAGGGAGACAAACACAGAAACACAAACACAAAGACAGGAGTCCTGACATGAATTAAAGTATAACTGAAAACTGAAAAAAGAAAAAGAAAACTTACAGAACCAAAAAAGTAGAGAGTCATGACAATGTGTTCTGGATATAGAAATAAACTGACCTGAAAGATTATTGTTTTTCCTGAGATTCTCTCAAAATGAACCCTTTTAATGTCTGTGTTGTTGGTTCTATGTATTAATATTATGCAGAACATCACTCTCAACACCCCCCCCCCCCCCCCCCCCCCCCTCTGCCAAACATGGTGGTGGCAGCATCATGCTCCAGGGGTGGGCAGGGAAGATAGATGGAGACAAATTGAGGAGGAAAAGCTGCTGAAGCTGAAGTTCCAGCAGGACCTTAAAGTCCGGGTTTCAAAGTTAAACCACACCTATATGAGGTGGGATGCTGTGACAGCCAGCAGGCAGCTCGCGCGCCCTCATGCTCCTCCTCACTGCTCGATGGGTGTAAAAAGGGACCTGAGCCGGAAACCAAACTTCTCTCTTCTAACTTTTCGTTTTTCTGTGAGGCGAAAGAGGAAAACGACGCGACCTTTGGTGTCAGGTCCGCGGCTCTGTTCCTGATCTGCTGCGTGGAATGTGCAGGCGGTTTTCCGCAGGCTGCACACGCGTTTCCCCCGAGGAGCCAGCGGGCCGCTCCGCCGCCGTCTAACGGACCATGGATGAGGTGAGTAGCTGAGCCCGACCCGGCCCGGTCCGGTCCATTCCTGGTACCGCAGGCAGACATGTCGAGCTTTTGAGGGAAGTTAGGCAGAAAGCATGAACTCCTGCAGACGGAGGGGCGTAAAGTTTGGGCCCAGAGACGCGATCGGAACCATCCGACCCGCAGAGGTTCCACCTGCAGAACTCCCAGAACCACAGCAGAACCTCAGCCCATTCTACAGTTAGAAGCGGGTCCAGAACCGATGTCCTCCGATTAGACTTCCTAGATTACAGCTAATCTGAGATAATCCGCGCAGAGTTTGATCGGTTTGTTCATAAAGTTCGGGGTTCCGGTACCAGTAGAACCAGTTGTTCGGGTTCCTGGTCCGGTTCGGATGAGCTACTGGAAAACAGCAACAAGCTGAAATTATGAGGAAGCAAAATGTTCAAAACGGGAAGTTCAGCAGAAAGCAGCGGGTTGATAAACAGCGTGAGGCGAACAGAACCAGAACCTCCAGAACCTGCAGCTGAAAGGAAATGATGCTGCTCTTCCACTGAGCATCTCTGCTCTTCTTATTCCTTTATATGCTCATATTTGGAGGCTTTAATATCCTTTTAAATATTTGAATCAATAAATATTTCATCAGCTCTTTCAGCAGTTTGAGCTCCACCTGGAACAACAAACTGTTTCCCCCTAAATATGCAACAGCCTGTTCTTAAAATGACATTTCATACAGTATATCATTTATTTTTATAAGTTAACGGGATGCTTAATGATTAAATTGGAGATATAGAAATCAGTGATATATATTTCTATTTAATACTGCAGTCATAATTAAAGCTAACCTCTATCTGGGGCCTCCACCCCCACTTTGGGAACCCCTGGTCTACATTGTTGAAGTTTGCTTAAAAACTTTGATCAGTTGCTTAGAGAAATGGGAAACCTCCCAGATGGCGGTTCTAGAAAGGTCTCCCACGGATCAGCGAGGAGCTCTGGGTTCCTCCTCAGAAAAAGGAACCAGCACCGGTTCTGGTTCAGGTTTTAAGTACCAATTTGATTCCAGTTTTCTGGTTTCGGAACCGATTCTTTTCCATCCCATTTGGTCGGATCTCGCTGACACTGAAAACCTTTTTACCTGAGGGTGTAATTTGAATGTTCAGCAGCTGGAGGTTATAGCAGCTGTGGGAGAGATGAGGAACGGAGGGAACGCTGAACTCAGCCTCAGTGTCTTTGTTGATGGCGGGGGTGAAGAGCGGAGCAGAATCCATCTGAACCTGCGAGGCATCACTGCCAGCAGAACCAGAACCATTTGAAGAAATTCCAAGAATTGTTGGACCGATGGCATGAAAGCAGAAAAGATGATCCAAGGTTCTGCTGAGGATGTGGGCCCGCTTTGAACCATCGGAACCAAAGGCCTAGTTACAGTAGGAGCCATTCAAAATTTCCCCACTTTCCTGGATGGTCCCTGGATGGTCCTTGGCTAGTCCCTGGCTAGTCCCTGGCTGGTCCCTGGCTGGTCCCTGGCTGATCCTTGGCTAGTCCCTGGCTAGTCCCTGGCTGGTCCCTGGCTGATCCTTGGCTAGTCCCTGGCTAGTCCTTGGCTGGTCCCTGGCTGGTCCTTGGCTGATCCTTGGCTAGTCCCTGGCTAGTCCTTGGCTGGTCCTTGGCTAGTCCCTGGCTAGTCCCTGGCTGGTCCCTGGCTGGTCCTTGGCTAGTCCCTGGCTGGTCCCTGGCTGATCCTTGGCTAGTCCCTGGCTAGTCCTTGGCTGGTCCCTGGCTGGTCCTTGGCTGATCCTTGGCTAGTCCCTGGCTGGTCCTTGGCTGGTCCTTGGCTGATCCTTGGCTAGTCCCTGGCTGGTCCCTGGCTGATCCTTGGCTAGTCACTGGCTAGTCCTTGGCTGGTCCCTGGCTGGTCCTTGGCTAGTCCCTGGCTGGTCCTTGGCTGATCCTTGGCTAGTCCCTGGCTAGTCCTTGGCTGGTCCTTGGCTGATCCTTGGCTAGTCCCTGGCTGGTCCCTGGCTGATCCTTGGCTAGTCCCTGGCTAGTCCCTGGCTGGTCCCTGGCTGGTCCTTGGCTAGTCCCTGGCTGGTCCCTGGCTGATTCTTGGCTAGTCCCTGGCTAGTCCTTGGCTGGTCCCAGGCTGGTCCTTGGCTGATCCTTGGCTAGTCCCTGGCTAGTCCTTGGCTGGTCCTTGGCTGATCCTTGGCTAGTCCCTGGCTAGTCCCTGGCTGGTCCTTGGCTGATCCTTGGCTAGTCCCTGGCTAGTCCTTGGCTGGTCCTTGGCTGATCCTTGGCTAGTCCCTGGCTGGTCACTGGCTGATCCTTGGCTAGTCCCTGGCTAGTCCCTGGCTGGTCCCTGGCTGGTCCTTGGCTAGTCCCTGGCTGGTCCCTGGCTGATCGTTGGCTAGTCCCTGGCTAGTCCTTGGCTGGTCCCAGGCTGCTCCTTGGCTGATCCTTGGCTAGTCCCTGGCTAGTCCTCGGCTGGTCCTTGGCTGATCCTTGGCTAGTCCCTGGCTAGTCCTTGGCTGGTCCTTGGCTGATCCTTGGCTAGTCCCTGGCTGGTCCCTGGCTGATCCTTGGCTAGTCCCTGGCTAGTCCCTGGCTGGTCCCTGGCTGGTCCTTGGCTAGTCCCTGGCTGGTCCCTGGCTGATCCTTGGCTAGTCCCTGGCTAGTCCTTGGCTGGTCCCAGGCTGGTCCTTGGCTGATCCTTGGCTAGTCCCTGGCTAGTCCTTGGCTGGTCCTTGGCTGATCCTTGGCTAGTCCCTGGCTAGTCCCTGGCTGGTCCTTGGCTGATCCTTGGCTAGTCCCTGGCTAGTCCTTGGCTGGTCCCTGGCTGGTCCCTGGCTGGTCCTTGGCTGATCCTTGGCTAGTCCCTGGCTAGTCCTTGGCTGGTCCTTGGCTGGTCCCTGGCTGGTCCCTGGCTGATCCTTGGCTAGTCCCTGGCTGGTCCCTGGCTGGTCTGTGGCTGGTCCTTGGCTAGTCCCTGGCTGGTCCTTGGCTGGTCCCTGGCTTGTCCCTGGCTGGTCCTTGGCTGGTCCTTGGATGGTCCTTGGATGGTCCTTGGCTGGTCCTTGGCTAGTCCCTGGCTAGTCCCTGGCTGGTCCCTAGCTGGTCCTTGGATGGTCCTTGGCTGGTCCCTGGCTGTTCCCTGGCTGGTCCCTGGCTGGTTCCTGGCTGGTCCCTGGCTTGTCCCTGGCTGGTCCTTGGATGGTCCTTGGATGGTACTTGGCTGGTCCCTGGCTGTTCCCTGGCTGGTCCCTGGCTGGTCCTTGGCTGGTCCCTGGCTGGTCCTTGGCTGATCCTTGGCTAGTCCCTGGCTAGTCCTTGGCTGGTCCTTGGCTGATCCTTGGCTAGTCCCTGGCTGGTCCCTGGCTGATCCTTGGCTAGTCCCAGGCTACTCCCTGGCTGGTCCCTGGCTGGTCCTTGGCTAGTCCCTGGCTGGTCCCTGGCTGATCCTTGGCTAGTCCTTGGCTGATCCTTGGCTAGTCCCTGGCTAGTCCTTGGCTGGTCCTTGGCTAGTCCCTGGCTAGTCCCTGGCTGGTCCCTGGCTGGTCCTTGGCTGATCCTTGGCTAGTCCCTGGCTAGTCCTTGGCTGGTCCTTGGCTGGTCCCTGGCTGGTCCCTGGCTGGTCCTTGGCTGATCCTTGGCTAGTCCCTGGCTAGTCCTTGGCTGGTCCTCGGCTGGTCCCTGGCTGGTCCCTGGCTGATCCTTGGCTAGTCCCTGGCTAGTCCTTGGCTGGTCCTCGGCTGGTCCCTGGCTGGTCCCTGGCTGGTCCCTGGCTGATCCTTGGCTAGTCCCTGGCTGGTCCCTGGCTGGTCTGTGGCTGGTCCTTGGCTAGTCCCTGGCTGGTCCCTGGCTGATCCTTGGCTAGTCCCTGGCTAGTCCTTGGCTGGTCCTTGGCTGGTCCCTGGCTTGTCCCTGGCTGGTCCCTGGCTTGTCCCTGGCTGGTCCTTGGATGGTCCTTGGATGGTCCTTGGCTGGTCCTTGGCTAGTCCCTGGCTAGTCCCTGGCTGGTCCTTGGATGGTCCTTGGCTGGTCCCTGGCTGTTCCCTGGCTGGTCCCTGGCTGGTTCCTGGCTGGTCCCTGGCTTGTCCCTGGCTGGTCCTTGGATGGTCCTTGGATGGTACTTGGCTGGTCCCTGGCTGTTCCCTGGCTGGTCCCTGGCTGGTCCTTGGCTGGTCCTTGGCTGGTCCCTGGCTGGTCCCTGGCTGGTCCTTGGCTGGTCCCTGGCTGGTCCCTGGCTGGTCCTTGGCTGGTCCCTGGCTGGTCCTTGGCTGGTCCCTGGCTGGTCCCTGGCTGGTCCTTGGCTGGTCCCTGGCTGGTCCCTGGCTGGTCCCTGGCTGGTCCCTGGCTTGTCCTTGGCTGGTCCTTGGCTGGTCCCTTGCTGTTCCCTGGATGGTCCCTGAATGGTCCCTGATCCCCTACAATTACTTTTTAAACATAAATGTTTGTACTAAATTATTGGAGGGTAGAGGACTGCCATTCGGCTGGCGATGGGCCATTTTGAATAACTGCTGCTTTAAAGGCCGGGACACCTCACACTGAGCCTGAACTGAAACCATCACAGAAAGGAAGTAGTGACAGTTTTTCAGTACCGAGAAGAGGAACACAGGTTGGAGGTGTTTTCTGCTTCCTGTGTTTCACTTTGAAACGGAACATGATGAATCCTCTGCTCTCATCGACCTTTGACCCCAGACCCCCAGCGGGACCCTGGATGAATGCTCCTCTGCCTTCATGTGACCCACAGTGCAGGCGCTGACGTGTCGGCCCCGCTTGCCAACAGAGCAGAAAACAATTACCCTTTCTGAGGATCAGCCTCCGTGAGACAATGAGAGCGTGTGTGGGACCCTGCTTCCAGTTTCTGGGAATTAAGATTCTGATCAAATGAGGGAATGATGTGAAAGAGGCCAGAGTTAAACGGAAGGAGCAACAGAAGCAGCAACCCCCGCCCCCCCAAGCTCTCATCAAACTGAGCTTCCAGGAGGGTCTTCAGCTCATATGAACAGCATCCAGAGTCGGTCAGT